CACGAATGTGACTTACCGAATTAGACTATTTACCGGATTTGTAATAACATAAGCAGCACGACGGGCGCCACATGTGGAGCAGGATCTGCTTATCCTTCCGGAGCACCTGAGATCACCCCCAGTTTTTGGCGGGGTTCGTGTTGCTTAGTCTTTGGTTTTCTATGTTGTGTCATCTGTACTATTATTTGTCTGTTTGTCTTTTTATTTTTGGCCATGGCGTTGTCAGTTTGTTTTTGATCTATGAGTTTGACTGCCCCTCTGGTATCTTTCGTCCCTCTTTTAAGACGTCGTCTTTCGGAATAAAGCCATTAGTTCAAAGTTATGAATGCTTTCTTTGTTGAATTCTGCGATTTCAAGCATTTATAGCTATTTTGTCTAAAGTTCGAATAAAGTGACAATCATTTCATCATGTTCATGTCAAAACTATACCTTATCCTGACTTGTGCTGTCGAATTCGATATACCTTTAATTGCATATCAGAGTGCACTGAAGTTTGATAGTAGGAGTTCTTCTGATTTGAACGACAGAGCAAATATGTCGTCTTACTTTTCTAATTTCATATAAAAAATAAATTATCAATCGAAAGAAATATTCAAAAAGGGTTCTACTGTAATCTCATGTTATTAAACCTTCATTTGATACAAATTAAAATTACCGATTTTTTTTTCTTACTGACAAAGCAACAGTACGCGTAGAGCTATTTTGTTGTGAATACGTTCTAATTTCTTGTATGTTCTTTCTGATCGGGCCTGAATTAGTAATCATATAGCTTTAACAGAACCTAACTGCTATATTGACTTATGCTTTACATAATTTCATTCCATGATATATTTCTAGCAAAGAAAAACACATAAAGCCGTTGTCCAAAAACTGTTTTGCTGAATTTAGCTCAGACCAAACGAACTGGTAGTAATATATGCGCAATAAAAACTTAAATTCATTGATAAGTTTGTCCCCTCTGTTTTTCTGCAAGTTAGATAAGGTAAGTTTTTGGTAAAAAATCCATACGTTTTTATGTAATTACATTATAATAACAACTTGTTAATAACATTAACGATACCAGCGTCATCTTTGTATCAAGTTGTTATATACGATCTCATGTTTTGCATGCCCGAACAAAATTTACGTAGAGTAGTACATTTTAAACAATAGACCAACTTTTTAAAATCATGTCTTTTTAAATCGAAACACCTGTGCAAATTTCCCATACCATTGTTGATTCCATTGGGACGGTTGGTCTAACTCATAGTACGTAACTAATAAGGTTGGTAAATTAAGAGCATCACATCAGTCAATGGCGAATAGTTGCTAAAGCGGACAGTAAAAACTTTCTATCTCCAAAGAAAAAATGTTCACATTTTTCGCAAGATAATAGATATGCAGTTAAAGAATGGTAGTTAATTATATTGCTTATATCTTTTAAACTCACCACGTGAGTTTAGGGAATCTGCATGGAAAATTAGGATAACAAACTGATAGATACCATTTCTTGATTCCGTAACATGTTGATCCAGAGTATCATTCCATATAATTTTGCAGTTATTCCCAATCACTTCAACCTTTGAACAAAAGATTTATTAATTGGAACAGTTTTAATAGATTTTTACCCAAGATCAACCAGAAATTGCCCTGACATGAATATTAAGTAATGTTTAATATGCAATCCAAACAGCAGGATGTGCCACCACAACATTTCTTAGTGCCAAAAAATATAGATTACTTTACCACTACGTTTACCTTAAGTTTCAAGGAATAGTACTTAGTACCAACAGATGACGAAGTCACGAAATTACACTACAATATTTTTTTGCAGACCTGTTGTAAAATACCAGTTTAGACGTTCAGATTGAAAATTTAAGGTTTATTATGTATCAGGAACAATGTTAAAAGGAACATGTTTACGAAATTAACAAAAATGTAAATAATTTAGTAAAAACTATTTCTCTAGCTTTTATGAAGCAGAATTGAAACAAAATTGTTCTCATAGAGAAGAAGAAAATCAAATTAAAAATATTTTAATTTCTCTTTCAAACAAATTGACGTGCTCCTTTATTTGTTAGTGAGTGCTTACATTTCACATTTATCAAGGATGTGTAAGATTTTGGTTGGTTTCGTGTTGTTTATTCATTAGTTTTTCTTATGTAGCGTTTTGTGAACTTGTTTGTCTTTTCGTCGTTTTTCTTTCTTTTTTTTTATTTCAATGGTTTTTTTCATTTTCTTTCATCTGATGAGTATTTTATGTCGCCGTGGTTTTCCCCTAATTTATTATTTTCCATATCTAGATTGTTGTCTTCACTTGATGCTGGTTGAAATGATGTGCAGCAACAACAGTTTATCAATGTCAAATCACATTATCCGATGAATAAATTACAAATCATGGTAACACACAAAATCTGATTTAAATATTAAGCTTTGATTTTATCGAAAACCAATTTACATTATTTTTGATGGTTGGATGAAATTCGAATCAAACTTCAACATATAAAAGAAATTTAAGAGGATTTTTTTTTCTAAACGTATACCTGTTTATGATATTGTCTCGCCAAACAAAAAATGAAAATCCCTAAAATGTTATGCAAGATCTAAATCTTTCTGTGAGTTAATTTGCAGGAATGAAATGCAGATAGATGTACAATCCCTTTTCAGGTTTGATTGATAACAAATTTAGAACAAAGCAAAGTTATGTCAAATAATATGAGATTTTAAATTGTATGATGGTAACACTGAATAAATGATTTAAGCTCTTTAGCTTTGTATTTAATCTGGTCTTTCAGCAATTTTAATGTCGATCATCACAGATGAGTGATATGTAGATGAAACGAGCGTCTAGCGTACTAAATTATAACCTGGTATCTTTGATTAGGTTGAAAATCTACTAAACTACTATGAAGATTACTAGACAAATCAAATGCATTATTGGAATTATGACTTCGACCTTAATGAGAACAAAATCAGAATTGAGAAAGTTATGAATGAGGAGATGTGGATGCACGTCTAAGAGATAGCAATCCATCGACAAAAAAAAACCCAATAATACATCTTTAGGGTAAGATATAGTCTTCGACAAAAGACAGGTGCCCACACATTATTTTGAGCTCTAAATCGTCTTGAAAGAATAAAGAGGGCTAGTTAAAGTTAAACAAATTGTTCTTTCTTATTGCATGACGACTACATATTTATCGTGTTGCTGCGTTTTACCACAACTGGGTCGAAACCACTGCAAGAAGACGTTTTGTCCCCGTGGGTATCATCTGACCACTAATCATCTTTCCTTTATTGAGATAAAAGATAATTGTCTGAAACTTTACATTTTACAAAAATGTTACTCAAAGACAAAGCTGACAGAAGCCAGATATGACGCAATTTTTTGAGGAATTCTTGATTTTCATTCTCTTTAAATTTGTAATTAATTTTGAATCGAGCCCTAATTTGCTTCGAACAAGACTAGTGAATCATGTGCAGATAGATTGCGAGTCTGACGTTTTAGATTGAAATTCTTACAACTAAGATAAGTTTTCCAACTTCAGGTAAAATAATTATCAAGTAGTGGCTTTCCAAACAATTCAACGAAAACAATAACACCGTCTATAAGGAAATAAATGACTTCAGTTCATATTATTTTTTTCAAACTGTACAAGTCTCTGGCTTCTACCAAATATATAATGCGTTTATTTGAGAACATTACCTAAAGGTGAAAGAAATATTTCATAATACGTAATATGATGAAACACGTGTTTGATGTAGGAGGAAACAAAATGTGGTACTGACCCTAAGTACATTTCTTTAGATGACATAATCTGCAATTTCTAAGACAACATGACATTTAAAGTTTCAAATATAATTAACGAGTTCATCATTTGCGGCTAACTTACAAATTTCCTTGTGTACATGTGTATTATAAACAAAATAATTGAAAACGGTATAAAAGGACAATTTGTAAGCAGTAATACACTATTCATTAGAAATAATTCCTATTGCTAGAAACAAAGGTAAGAAATTATTAAATATTAAATAGATTTTCGCTGTTTTAGAATCTATCGGAATAGATAATTTGACTGAAATAACTATTTGATAGATAAGCGATAATAAATATACAAAGTTATGTTCCATTCTGTAGGGTTTAAATACTGTAAAAAGTAAATGTCTATTTCATACCAAGACTTGACAATCAATGAATGTTATGCAAGTTCGAGCTTCGATCCCCTTTTCTTTATTTGTATATTCGTGAATCGATATCTTATATATCTTTCTATTTTGTAATATCAATCTCATCTCTCTGAAATATAAAGTTGTGGTATAGATTGAAGCTTGATTTATACGATTTATTGCTCTGAATTTTTTCCCATATTTGTCTGTAAATTGATTTACTTTTTATTCAGCTTTTCAACCTCAGAATAACACTTTGAATATTGAAATATTGCCTAGAGCATCACTGATAAGACATTAATAGTCGACATGCGCATCTGTTGCATGAATACTGGTACCTCTTATAATTTAATTTACATGTAGGACACAATGTTCACATTCAGTTTGGTATTCTCTTTTCTTATTTCGAAGATATCCCTTAGAAAAGATCATAACGGTCGAAATATAGGCACCCTTTCCTTCCATTCTCAAATTGTTTCTATTTGAAGAGTGCATTTAATAAGGGCTGTCTTCAAATGTTCATTTCAAAATTCTATCGACTTTCAGATTTATTTTAATTCACATGCCTTCTTCAGGTATCATCCTTCCACTACATCTCAATTTTTAACAACCTGTAGCTCCAATACAAGTACAACACACCCCTCATGTTGGCTTAGTATCAAAATTGTTTTGTCATTCTATATACCTCCCAAAGTAAATATTAGCCTCAAAGAGTATAGTTTTTTTAAATTTTACTGTCTTGCAGATTTATAGTAAAATCAAACAAAGTTTTTCTATTAAATGATTCGTATCAGAATTAAATGTGTGAATTGTTATTTTCTTAGAAATGATGTTATCCTGTAAATTTCAGAATTCTTAGAAATGATGAGGTTCCAGACCATATTCTTGTTGATGGCATTGACCACAATGACAGTAGCCGGTAAGAAAGTTATTTGATTTGCCATTTCGAAATTTATAAGCTGTTTAACAAAAGTTTTTCAATGTGTAGATAAAATCTAAATATCTTACCACCGAAATGTTCTTAAACATAGAAAACTTTCCTACATAATTATATGCAGGCATATTACCAACATCTGCATATTTTTGTAAATTATAATGAAAAAGTTTGAAACAAATGGTTTTGTGTTTTGAATTGTGTCTAATTCTATCATGGGGGTGTTTTAATAGCTTACGATAAGGTATGGGCTTTGCTCAGTGCTGAAACCGAACGGTACCTGCAACTGTTTACAACCTTGCCCTTCGGTCTATGGTGGATAGTTGTCTTATTAACAACAATACCAAGTATACTTTAATAAATATATAAATATTAGTTAACCTGTATTGTTTATGGTATTATTTGATTAATAAAGATTATATAAATTGTGAGATATTTAATTTACAGTCTATGCACCCACGGAAAAGCATGTACTAAATAAACATGGAGTGAAGAAGGTTTTACAGGTTTACATCATCCTTTGGTGTATGGTGAATACACTACAAACCAGTAAAAGTCTGAAATGGCCTATATCTGTACAGGACTGTACTGATTTTTACTCGACCAGTCTGAATTGGTCTGAATTTTACTCGACATTACTCGACCCCAGTCTTAACCATACTCGACCGTACTAATTTGTACTTGACCCTTATCTTTGCCATTGAAAAAAGTCTGAACTATTACTTGACCAGTCTGAAACAGTCTTAACCCATTCTCAACCTGTACTCGACCTATTTTTTCAGTCTAAACCATACTCGACCAAAGGTCTGAACAATACTCGACCAAAGGTCTGAACAATACTCGACCAGTCTGAACCATACTTGACCAAATAACCTCTACTTTTTTTTAATTTTAGCTGTTAAAATTAATTTCTTTTTTTCTGACATGATAACAGCCACAAAAAAATAAAGATATATATAAAAACATATTTTTACATCCTTACATGATCTCAGATTTATCAAATAGAGATAGTTAAATCAAATCATCTTATATAATAATTTATATATATTAATTTTAAGTTTTAGAGTTTTGTTAAAAAAAAACGATTCTTTTACCTATAAACCACACCTTTACTGAGGGTAATAAAACCTTATTAAGGTGCTTCTTGGTTGGCATGTGTGTTTTTTTTTAACTTAATTTTCCTAAATTCCTAAAGAAAAACTACATAGGTTTTATGGTTACATACAATAGTTATATAATTATCTTTTTAATGAGTTAACAACAGCCAAAAAATCACTGAAATTGTTTAATCTTATATTAGAAATATATCTATTCTTATTATAATTTGGGATATATTATATATAATATATATCAAAAAGGGATAAAAAAGTTAAAGAAATAAATAAAAAAAAAATTCTGAATAGTGGTAAAGTATAAAGTAATACCTCCTGCTTGGGGCAAACTCATTAAAAAGATCACACCTGGTCGGAGAGAATTAATTTCTAATTACATTCAGTAAAAATTGCAACATCCTGTAAAACTTAAATCGCAAGGCCTTTTGAATTCACTAGATAAGTAATACACGAGTTTAAGAAAAATAGGGCTTTCTTTTTACCTGTAAAACACACATGTACTGAGGTAATTAAACCTTATTAAAGTTCTTCTGTATGCCATGTCTTTAATTTTGACAAAAGTTATATAAATTTAATTGAAATAAATTTTTTCCGCAACTTTGGAACACATTTCCTTTTTTAAATGGTTATCAAGGATTGCTACGGAAGTTCTGTTGTCATGATTATATAAAATTCTTGGTTTTACAAAACAAAGGTGTGATCTTTTAAATTTATTAAGTTGCTTTATATACTCTTCTAGATATATTTTAATAAAAACAATGTTCACTGCATTATTAACTAAACTCAACTGACACCAAAAATATATACAAGGCTTAAGTAAATGGTGAAAAATGTCCAGTAACCATAAAATATATCTGAAACATTCAAAAAAAATTTGAATAACATTGAAAATATTAGTCACAATTCAGTTTTGAGATTATTGGAACAGCTTGTTTTATTTTTATTTTAAAGGTGGTATATATATATATATGTAAGTGTTGATGAATATAGTGTAGAATTTATATTACGTTTATTGTGAATATTTGGTTTCAATGCCATATTGAATACATTTTTAATTTCAAATTGTTGTTCAAATTTCTAGCCAGGGGAAATAGCTGTTAAAAACAGTTCCTAAATTGATGAAATATAATAGATAGATACAAAAAATATGTCTAGGTTGGTTAAGACTTTGTCAAGTATGGTTCAGACTAGGTCGAGTATGGTTCAGACTAGGTCGAGTATGGTTCAGACTATGTCGAGCATTGTTCAGACTAGGTCGAGCATGGCTCAGACGCAAATAAAATGGTTAAGTACTGGTCGAGTGTGGTCGAGTTCAAGTTCAGACTCTTAAGTATGGTTCAGACTACAGTCGAGTATAATCAAGTAAATTTCAGACCAATTCAGACTGGTAGAGTAAAAATCAGTACAGTCGAGTACAAATATAGGCCATTTCAAACTTTCAATGGTTTGTAGTGATGTCTTATTGGCAATAACTACATATATCCTGATATTCATATGCAGATAGCAGTTCACCTATATTGTATTTTGTATTACTTGATTTGTGAATATTATAAAATGGTTCGATATTTATTCTTACAGCCTATTCACCAACAGAAAAGCATGCATTAGACATACCTGGAGTGAAAAAGATTTTACAGGTCGAAAACACAGTTGGAAGAGACATAAACGGGCGTAGTGGTGTTGGATCCCTTTCTGTACTAGATGTAATTGATGCAAACAGACGAGCAGGATCAAGAGCAGTTGAAACATCTCATGGAATAGGCAATGACTTTTTATCACGCGGGTCATCAGCTAGAAGAGGATTGTCTGGGGGTTCAATTGGAGGCAGGACTGAAATCATTAGAGGCCCCTCAGCTGGTTTGTCACGTGCTTTATCTGACGATGACAGTATCAGTAACTGCCATTTTGGGTGTGGAGGAGATAAATTATGTCGTTCAGGACATAAATGTATTCACAATGGATGTAGCAGCTACTGCGTCGAAATTTCTTCTGGAAGTATAATTGGTGCATTTGGATTGTCGGACTCTATAAGAAAGGAAATAATTAGAAGTTTATCATCTGGCTTGACCAGAGTTTCGAGTAATGATGGTCATTTATCCCCTGGCAGCAGAATTGGTTCATCTGGTCTGGCTAGGAATTTGGATCTATCTAGCAATGCTAATTTGGAAACAATAGGTAGAAGTCGTGGAATGTCTGGTCATGCAGGTTCTGATATTCTTGACGCAACCAACCTAAGACGAAGTGGACTTGATGTATTAGACACACTTTCTTTAAGACGAAGTGGATCAGTACGTACTTCTGGTTCAGGTGTCGTTTCTCAGTCAGTAGTTAGTGGAGCAATTATTTGCAAAAAAAACTGTCATCATGATGGAGATTGTCCAACCAACAAATACTGTGCAACTGTTAATTGTCACATGATTTGTCGAAGAAGGCCGTCAAATGGATACACACGATGATCATGTACAGGATATCACCGAAATCCAGACTTTGAACACTTATTTATTTTTTTTATATAAAATAAAATGTTGCAGTCAGTTTGTGTTATTGTTTAAATTTTCCATACTACAATACAAAATATTGATTATTTAGGCGTCAAAGCAATCCTACTAAGAAACTCAGAAAAATTGAAACAACAAAATGATATTAATACAGATAAGAAAAATAAGACATCACTTGAAAAAGAGTATGCTGATTTGAATTAATACCATTTACCCATTTACTCTTAACACAAAAGCATACATACCATAAACAATTAGAAAAATTGTAGAGCAAAGTCTATAAACTATACTCGCCAAAGCAAACACAATGCCTTGGAAAGTTCTACATTTATTTGCATTCTAAAATAACTGCTTAAAGTATTTATATTCTCAAAGAAGTCTTTGGAACCTTTTTAAATATGGATACGTGCTGAAAGCTAAGCAAATCAGACAACTAAACAATTACTATAAGGAAACAGAATCAGCGAAAGACATTATCCAAAAAATCTTTGTTTTCTAAAATAGGTATACATGAAACCAGAATAATGTCATGGAAAGATGTTTCAAGATATATTTAAAAGCAAAAATAAAAAAATAGTTTACCTCAGGAAATATTATGTTTGTTTGTTAATTTATATATGTACATTGATATGGTCGGTCATTAATATTTAAAGATATATGAAGTATTTATAGCTTACTATGCGGTATGGGGATTGATCATTGTTGAAGGTCGTTTGCTGACCTATAGTTGTCAACTTTTACATCATTACGTCTCTGATGGTGAGTTGTCTCATTGGCAATCATGCAACATCTTCTTATTTTTATATCTAATAGACAGCTGAAAGGGTTTTGGAAGCCCTCTTCGAGGTTCTATATTTGATTACTACCTCACCTCATCCGAAAACTTTTTTATGGAAATTTCAGAGTATCCATCATTACATTTGTAAGCAAACATACAGCTAGTCTTTTATAACATGACAAAAAAACACTTCACAGTTTATCTGTGCTAATATATTGATATAGTATAGGAGACTATTCTTGTTCTATTTCGCTGTAGAACATGAAATCAGATTTAATGTTGAAGTATTCCAAAAAAAACCAACCGATTTATATCAATGAGTATGGTGAAGATTGTGTGCTTAGTCTATAATTGAGAAAAAAAAACTCAATCATCAAACGGTTTTATGGATATAAAAAAAAAGAAATTTTGTTCAAATGATAACAACAATAGATATTTTATACAAGCGGAAATGAAATTTGTATTTTTTCATACTTAAATTCGTGGCCAATCAATACCAACAAACTCGAAAAGGTCTTAACACACAACCTTTCATCGTTGTCCTTAGGTGAATGGTGTTCTCCTTGAAATTACGTAGAATATACTTTAAGTTCGTGCATTTTCTGAAAGCCAACACATTAGCCGATCTTTGTTTGGTAGTCAAAGACAGAAATAATGGTTAATGGTTGCTTTAAAAAAATAATTTCAAACATCGACTTTTTAATAAGCACTCACTTATGTGCTGGTTTATGTTGATTTATGTATCCGTTTTTATTCTGTAGTTAGTCACGACTTCGGTGTTATCATGTATATCTATTATATAGTCATTTTTATAAATTTATTGTTTGCAAATGTATGAATTATTCTAAATACTAAGGTTTTTCTTATTCCAGACAATTAACCTTAACCGTATTTGGCACTACTTTTTGGAACTTTTAGTCCTCAATGCTCTTCAACTTTGTACTTGTTTTGGCTTTCGAACTTTTTGATCTGAGCGTCACTGGTTAGTCTTGTGTGGACGAAACGCGCGTCTTGCGTATTAAATTTTAAACCTGGTACCTTTTGTTAGCTATTATTCGTATGTTTCTCTGTCCTATATGTTCTTCCTTTATTTGTATTGTAGGCCTGTCATGTTATGTTGTCATTTTAATGTTATATTTAACATTGCCATAAAAGCGGGAGGTTTGGCTAGCCACAAAACCAGGTTCAACCCACAATTTTTTTCTTAAAATGTCCTGTACCAAGTCAGGAAAATGGCCATTGTTATATTATAGTTTGTTTCTGTGTGTGTTTCATTTTAATGTTGTGTTTCTGTTGTTTCGTAGTTCTCTTATATTTGATGTGTTTCCCTCAATTTTAGTTTGTAACCCTGGATTTGTTTTTTTTTTGATCGATTTATGAATTTCGAACAGCGGTATACTACTGTTGCCTTTATTTAAAACATAACAAATTGATGTGTTTAACCATTGTTGTTGTGTACATCGATCACTTTTAAACTTTTCAGAATGTAACCACGGTCTTTTTTGATATCCACGGCCAATCAAACGTAACAATACGATAGATGACAGGAAAAGGTATCAAAAACGAAGAAATACAGACATGCCGAGGCAATCAATGAAATGGATGCAAAGAAAACAAACAATGTTCAAAAACAAAAAATTAAAATAGCACTTTATAAACAAGAAATTGCACAGAACAATTCTTTACCCGAAGCAGCTTTTAGCTTTACAACTTAAGTGGTAGTACAATCAAAACAATATACTAATTTCGTGTGCACTACATCTGTGTCATAAAGTTTGTAAGGCCACACTAAAACATACATTTGGTACTGCACATGGTTAAAAACACCCTTAGAACACTGCAAATCCATAAATTATTGCGTGCATTTATTAATGCGATATTTGAAAAATGGACAAAATGCGAAAATAATTATTGCGTTTTTTAGAAAAACATATATATGTATCAGATATATAAGTGCGAGTTCTCATTATTGCGATAATCACCCAGTCTCATTATTCGCATTGATAAAAACCTCGTAATAATTTCTGATTTTTTAGTAGTTCGAAATCATAATTTTTCCTATTCATAATACTTTGCCATTTCTAAGTACTTGTAATATGATAATGTTTAGTTGCCTCTTCTTAATTGTTTTTGTCGAAATGCCTGATGGGAAAGTGAGTCTTTGCAAACAAAATGCACGTCTTGCTTACAAGTTTACAATCTTTGTATCTTTGATGAGTTTTTACAGCCACTGGGTCGATGCAAATGCTGGTGAACTTTTCTTCCCCGAGGGTATTATCAGCCAAATATTCGAAACACTTAGGGCTTTCTACCAGCGGGTATAGATGGCCATAATTTGGCACAAACATTCAAAATATTTAGTAAATAAAGCTCTTGAACTGCGTATTTACTTTTGTCAACTGTTTGAGCGACACCGATGAGTCTCTTGCAGACGAAACACGAATCTGGTGTGCAAAATCACTAACCTGGTATATTTTTCGGGTTTTTACGTCATTTTTGTAAAAAAAAAACCGATATATCCGATATCATGTTTACATGCCTGTACCTAATTTACACAGTGTAATATTTTTTAAACTAAAGCACCGCTTTCCTTTAAGCCATGTCTTTTCAAACGCAACACTTGAGCAAACTGTTATCTATAAAACCGTTTAATTCATATTAGCTCAGCTTTCCCTACAATATCTGTTTCCAATGCTATGAATGGTCAAACCGAAGCCAAAGGACTGATAATTTTGGTAAATAAGAATCGCCGTATTAGTCACCGACGAATAGCTGACTCAATACATAAATTAAGGGGAAATTCATTTTTGTTTGGGAAAAAAGGATAACAAATAGAGAACAGCTCTTGATTTTCAACCTGTTTTCCTGAGTTCCTTTTCTTATAATTTTGCTACTGTTCCCAATTACAACAACCCTTAAATCAAAGATGTATTAATCGGAACCATTTCAATCTTTTTCAAACTCAGTTGACATAGAAACATTTAAAATGAAAAAAATATATGCATATCAAAATATGATAAAAGAATTATATTGGCCAGTAAGAAACTGAAACTGTTGCCACTTTGTTCTTGCCCTCATGTAAAGTATATAAGTATGTATATTAGTATAAAAAAATACATATTACAAAATCTGCGGATTTCTATGTCAAATCCTTGGCATTTTCTTTTATATTTAAGTGAATATTCATATCTCATATATCACCTTAAAAATTATATACTAGTGAAAAGGTAGTTTGCTTCATTTCATATTTTTTTCTTGAATTATGCTGATAGGAATTCAGATCTAAAAAAAATTATTAAATTGAGTTCTCCTGTTATCTACCTTTTACTGAGTAGTATCAAACCATCAGTGCAGCATATTGTGTTAGTCGTAGAAGTTGGTAAGATGCGCGTTATGGCTGCCATAATCATACACAATATTTCAAGCAACTATTCAAAGTAATCAGTTCCCAGTGTGAAGTAATCAAAAAGATGCAGATGCAGAAGATACCATAGGGGAAACCAAAATTTCATGAGTTGAAACGAAAAACTAACAAAATCATGGCAAAAAAATAAAAATCGAACAAAAACAGTTCAGAAAACTATGAAATCAATTATTGAGCGAGAGGTCATCACTTATACAGCGATTTGTGAAAATAAATGATATCTTTGGCTTCTCTCCATTTTCGTTCTAAACTACGTACTGTATGGAGTCTGGCGTAAATGACTAAAGAAACAACTGTGCAAGAAGAGAAGTTGGTTTCCATATGATTGGTAAAGGCATATTAAAATAGGGAGAGGTTAATTATTTTGAAAACGCTGAAAATATTTATCATATAAAACAGCCGAAATGATAAAAAAAATATCAGTCTTCAAGAGGTCAATCCTATTCTTTCTTTTCTAATAACACTTCCAAAAATTGAAATAAAACAATTAACTGATTTCATTGTTTTATCTACGTTTATATACATATGAATTTGAAATTTCTTTTAAAGAAACATTGAAAAGGGGGAATTAACTGTAAATCTTTTATGCCAAAGTTTTGTGTATGCAATTCTTGTAATTCTGAACCTCTTTTCTGATCAATGCAAATTAGACCATTGCCTGAAAAGGAAGATGTTCAATACAGTAATTTGAAGTACAAAATATTTTAATCAAGCCAGGTCTAAAGATTTTTCACCAGCGTTGCTATATAAAGAGATACATGAATAGTGTTATAGATATTTGTTATTTGAAATTTGAGTTTATAAAGAACATATGACATCTAGAAAAGCGGTTTGGACTCAAAAAATTGATAGTGTTATTTTCATTTTGCAAGCATTGGGTCAATACTACAACTGTTGTCCTTTTAGTCCAAGAGGGCATTATTAGTTCTGTAATACTTCGGTACTGACATGATTTATAACAAATCTTTAATAAATTCTCCGTTGATACATTCAAAATAATGAAGAAACTAAGATTCCAACTCTTCACGTAAAGTTTACCTTAGCAGGATTTGGATATCACTTTTAGATCCATTTTGTCGTATAGCTCTTCATAAGCCAGGTTCGGAATTTATCCATCCTTCTTTAAAATTTTGGCTTTGGCTTTGAGCGATCCTGATTGAGTTTAATTCATAAAAACGCTTCGGACGCAAAAAAAGTTGATAGTTTTATTTCATTTTTTTTATTATTTGAAGTACAATTTTTTTTAATTGTTCCCACGTTCAAAACAATTTTAATTTCCTATAACTAATGGTGACTGATTTTAAATAGAAATATAAACATTTTCCAACTACGTTAAATGTAATTTAAGAAACTGTTTTTACTATTCATTTTGAATAAATTTTTATTTTTATCTGTTTCTCAGATGACTACAGATGTGTACCAATTGTCGTAACAACATTCCCGTCATCTTTTCATCGAAATCCCCGATTTAGGCCTGCCCAGCATTTGAATAGAATACCAAGCCATGGGTTTCAAGCAAATCAATTATTAAAGAATAACGTCCATACCATGAGGAAATAAAAGGCTTTATGTTAGTTATTATTACAACAGTACAAGTCTCTGATTACAACGAAATTAATAACGTGTATATTTAACCAGATTTGTCAAAAAAGTCAAAACGATATTTCGTAATAACTACATGTATTATTACATAATGACAAATATGTCTGTTGTAGGACATTTTTTCACCTTTAGTACATTTTAAAAAATAAACATAATCCACAATTTCATAGAAATAAGACATGGTGACATTAAAGTTTATGATGTCATGAAAAATATGTTTGTTGTAGGAGGAAACAAAATGTGTTATTGAACCTTAGTACATATCCTGATATATGCATACTCCGTAATTTCGTAGTACTACGACATCGTCGTGACATTTAAAGTTTTTAACTATAATTAACGAATTCATCATTTGCGGTTCAGTTACAAATGTTCTTGTGTGCATGTCAATCATAAACAAAATATTTGATACGGTATAAAAGAACGATTTTGAAGCAGTGAAACAGTATTCACAAGAAATCCTTCGAATAACTTCAAAGAAAGGTAAGGCTTATAGGTAACAATTAATTATGAATAAATATGATAAATAAACAAAACAATAATACAATAGTGACAAAGATAGTAGGAAATAAATCATTATAGAATTAAAATTTATTAAGTTTAAAGCATTAGGATAATTCGATACTTCTAAAGAAGCATTTGCTCCCTTGGCAGAACGAAACAGTTCAATTTACTTTTATAAAGAATAGTATAGTGAAAGTTGTGCATTGTTTACATTTCTGTAATAGAATAGTAAGAAAAAAGTATTATAACCATAAAATGCTTCAAACTATATTTTAGCAACACATCTTATTTTTACTGCCTTTTAAAATCTATCGAAAATGAAAACCAGACCAAATTAATTTTTTGAGATATTGAAAATCAATTTAAGTGATAGAAGTTCGAGATTTATATTTTGCTTCATTCCTTTTCTTTTTAAATTTGTTAACTGGTAAAACTATTTTTATCATATTTTTCAAACTTTTAAAGTCAACCGAGTATAATATTGTATAATAAATTGAAACTTATATTTTATGATTAATTGCTCCAATTCCTTGTCTAGAAGTTGTTATACTCTATTTTTTTTTGTATGATCAGCTCATCGTGGCCGGTATTAAATCGTGGATTTTCAAATATGTTTGGCTTGAAAATCACAGAACATTCATTAATTGTCGAATCGATCATCTGACTTGTAAATATTTAGGTCACAATGTCCATATTGAGTTTGTTGTTTCGGTTTTAATTTTCAAAGATATCCGTTTTTAAACAATAAAAGTCGAGATATAGACCCCCTTCCATCTTTTTCTATTGAGTCTTCTATTTTCAGAATAAATTTTAGAAAAGCTGTTTTCAATCACTAAATTTCAAAGTTTTAACGACTAGTGAGGTTTTTGTAATTAACAAAACAACGGCTTTTCCAGATATAACCTTACACAATATTTAAATTTTGAACAATTTATAGCTCGAAAGCAAGCACAATAAATCCTACAATTCGGCTTCGAATAAAGATATTCTGTCATTTTTGTATACCCAAAACATGTATAAATATCGCTGCAGATTGTTTCTAGCAGGTGTATAGTAAAAACATGTAAATATGAATATAAAGATTGTGTTAACTGATTCGTATTTAATAGGTCAATTATGATTTTCTGAGAAACAACGTTCATCCTGTTAATTTCAGAATTCTTAGAGATGATGAGATTCCAGACCATTTTCTTATCGATGGCAGTGACCACAATGATAGTAGCCGGTAAGAAAATGCTACTTTTTTTTCGAGATTTATAGGCTGTTTTAACGAAAGTATTTTCGATGTTGAGATAAATACCTTACTGCAGAAAATTAAAAAAAATATATATAACTAAAGTACATAAGAAATATTATTACCAACATTTACAATTTTTTTGTGAATTACAATGTAAAAGTAAAATGATATAAAGATAGTAGTTAACCTGTATTGTATTTTGTATTACTTGTACTGTGAAGATTGTAAAAATTATTCTATGTTTAATCTTATAGCATACTCACCAACAGAAAAGCATGCAGTAGACATTCATGGAGTGAAGAAGATTTTACAGGTCGAAAATACATCTGGAAGAGCTATAAACGGGCGTCGTCGCAGCGGATCTCTTTCAGTACTAGATCTTATTGATGCAAATAGACGAGCAGGATCAGGAGCAGTTGGAACATCTCATGGAATAGGAAACGAATTCATAACACGTGGGTCATCCGGCAGTAGAAGATTATCTGGGGGTTCTGTTGGAGGCAGGACATCAGTATCTGAAATCATAAGAGGCTCCTCAGCTGGTATGTCACGTGCTTTCTCTGACGATGAGAGTATCAGTAACTGTCATTATGGGTGTGGAGGAGATAAATTGTGTCGTTCAGGACATAAATGTATTCACAATGGATGTAGCAGCTACTGCGTCGAAATTTCTTCTGGAAGTATAATTGGTGCATCTGGATTGTCCGACTCTATAAGAAGGGAAATAATTAGAAGTTTATCATCTGGTTTCACCAGAGTTTCAAGTAATGATGGTCATTTATCCTCTGGCAGCAGAATTGGTTCATCTGGTCTGGCTAGGGATTTGGAACTATCTAGCAATGATCATTTGGAAACAATAGGTAGACGTCGTGGAATGTCTGGTCATGCAGGTTCTGATGTTCTTGACGCAACCAACCTTAGACGAAGTGGACTTGATGTATTAGACACAGTTTCTTTAAGACGTGGTGGATCAGTACGTACTTCTGGTTCAGGGGTCGTTTCTCAGTCAGTAGTAACTGGAGCAATTGGTTGCAAAAAAGAGTGTCTTGCGGATGAAGATTGTCCAACTAACAAATACTGTGCAACTGTTAATTGTCACATGATTTGTCGAAGAAGGCCGTCTAATGGATACACACGATAAACAGTATATCACCGAAATCTAGACTTTCAACACTTATTTATTTTTTTTATAAAATAAAATGTTGCATTCAATTGATGTAATTGTATATTTTCCGTTCTACAATACTAAATATTGATGATTTAGGCGTCAAAGCAATCCTACTCAGAAAATTTAAAACAACGCAAAGATATAAGTACAGATAATAAAAATAATACAACAATTGAAAAAAGTTTGGTGATTTGTATTTATACCGTTTACTCTTAACTCAAAAAAAATATCATAACATAAACTATGAGAAAAATGTAAAACAAAGCCTATATAAACACTTACGCCAAAGCAAACACAATGCCTTGACAAGTTGTACATTGATTTGCATTCTGAAATAGCTACTAAAAGTTTTTTTATTCTGGAAACGTGATGAAAGCTAGGCAAATCGAGCAACAAAAGATTCCCATAAAAAACTCAGAATCAGCCAAAGACATTAACCAAATAATCTTTGTTTATAAAAATAGGTATACATGAAACCAGAATAATGTCATAGAGTAATAGAAAGAAGTTTTGGGATATATTTTAATTGCGAAAATAGTTTACCTCAGGAAATATTATGTTTATTTGTAAATTTATGTACGTACACTTTATGGTCGGTTCTTAATATTAAAAGATATATGAAGTATTTATAGCTTACTATGAGGTATGGGTTTTGATCATTGTTGAAGGTTTTTCGGTGACCTATAATTGTCAACTTCTACATCATTACGTCTCTGATGGACAGTTGTCTCATTGGCAATCATGCCACATCTTCTTATTTTTATATTTGATAGACAGGTAAAAGGGTTCCAGAAGCCCTCTTCGAGGTTCCATATTTGATAACTACCTACCTGACCTCACCGAAAACTTTTTTTATGGAAATTTAAGAGTATCCATTATTACATTTGTAAGCAAACATACAGCTAGTCTTTTATAGCATGACAATAAAAATAACACTTCACAGTTTATCTGTGCTTCTATATTTATATGGTATAGGAGACTTTTCTGGTTCTATTTCGCTGTAGAACATGAAATTAGATTTAATGATGAAGTATTGAAAAAAACCCATCCGTTTATATCAATGAGTATGGTGAAGAATATGTGTTTAGTTTATAATTGATTAAAAAAAACTCAATCATCAAACGGTTTTATGGATATAAAAAAAGAAATTTTGTTCAAATGGGGTAATGACGGAGAACAACAATATATATTTTAAACAAGCGGAAATGAAATTTGTATTTTGCATACTTAAATTCGTGGCCAATCAATACCAACAAACTCGAAAAGGTCTTAACACTCATCCTTTCATCGTTGTCCTTAGGTGAATGGTATTCTCCTTGAAATGACGTAGAATGTACTTTCAGTTCTTGCATTTTTCTGAAAGCTAACACATTGCTCACTCTTTGTTAGGTAGGCAAAGGCGGAAACAATGGTAAACTAATGGTCACTTTTACAAATTAAATTTGAAACATCGACTTTTCGCTTAGCACTCACTTACAAAATAACAAATTGATGTTTTCAACCATTGTTGCTGTCTACATCGATCACTGTTAAACTTTTATAATGTACTCACGGTTTGCACTGCAATTGTGCCAAAAAGGACTTTTGAAAAAAAGTTGAAATCCACGGCAAATCAAACGTAAAACCACGATAGATGACAAGTAAAACTACTTCAAAAAGTATCAAAGACGAGTCAAACAATGACATGTATATAAACAAAACAACCAATAGATATAAGAAGATGTGGTATGAGTGCCAATGAGACAACTCTCAATCCAAGTAACAATTTGTAAAAGTAAACCATTATAGGTCAAAGTACGGCCTTTAAATACAAAGCCTTGACTCACACCGAACAGCAAGCTATAAAGGGTCCCCAAAATGACTAGTGTAAAACCATTCAAACAGAAAAACCAACGGTCTAATCTATATTAAAAACGTAAAATACTTATGAACCACATCAACAAACGACAACTACTGAACATCAGGTTCCTGACTTAGGACAGGTGCATTTATAGCTTACTATGCGGTATGTCCTTTGGTTTGAACTGAAACCGTAAGGTCCCTGCAATGGTTTACGCAATCCTTTCTTGTAAGGTGAATCGTTGTCTAATTGGCAATAACTACATATCCTGATATTTAAAGGCAGATAGTGGTTTACCTGTATTATATTTTGTATTATAATGTACTAGTACTTGATTTGTAAAGATTGTAAAATGGTACGAACGGAAAAGCATGAATTGTGTCGTTCAGGACATAAATGTATTCACAATGGATGTAGCAGCTACTGCGTTGAAATTTCTTCTGGAAGTATAACATGACTTGTATAATTGGTGCATCTGGATTGTCCGACTCTATAAGAAGGGAAATAATTAGAAGTTTATCATCTGGTTTCACCAGAGTTTCAAGTAATGATGGTCAGTTATCCTCTGGCAGGAGAATTGGTTCGTCTGGTCTGGCTAGAAATTTCGTCCTATCTAGCAGTTCTCATTCGAAAACTATAGGTAGAAGCCGAGGAATGTATGGTCATGTAGGTTCTTATATTCTTGACGCAACCAACCTTAGAAGAAGTGGATTTGATGGCTGATATTTTTGTTCGAGCATATTGTTTTTCTTTAATTGTTTAACATTTCTTACCGATATAATATGTTACTTTTATTATTCTTCCCTTAGTTTATTTATTTTGTATTTACATTGTGTCATAGGTCAAATTTATTTGTTCAGTGTATGTTCAATGGTGTTAATATGTCCTTTGATTGAGTTAAGCTATTTCATTTGATATTTTATAGTGTGTCTTTCTATGTTGTGATGTTACACTATTGTTTCAGAAAAAGGGTGAAGGTTTGGTACCATTAAAACGTTTAAACCCACTGCATCTGTTTGCACCTGTCCTAAGTCAGGAATCTGATGTTCAGTAGTTGTCGTTTGTTGATGTGGTTCATAAGTGTTTCTCGTTTCTCGATTTTATATAAAGATTAGACCGTTGGTTTTCCCGTTTGAATGGTTTTACACTAGTAATTTTTTGTGGGCTCTTTATAGCCTACTTTTCGGTGTGAGCTAAGGCTCCGTGTTGAAGACCGTACTGTGACCTATAATGGTTTACTTTTATAAATTTTGACTTGGATGGAGAGTTGTCTCATTGGCACTCATACCACATTTTCTTATATCTATTGGTGTATTAGACAAAGTTTCGATAAGACGTAGTGGATCAGTATGTATGTGTGGTTCAGGGGTCGTTTCCCAGTCAGTAGTAAGTGGAAAAGTTGGTTGTTAAAAAGAGTGTTTTGCTGATGGAGATTGTCCAACCAACAAATACTGTGCAACTGTGTTAACTGTCACATGATGTGTAGAAGAAGGCCGTCTAATGGATACACACAATGAACAGGATAGTATCGAAATCCACATTTGACACACTCAATATTATCTTTAAATAAAATTAAATGTTGAATACCATTTGCAGTTTTTATACGCCCGTCAATTTTTGACGGGACGTATTATGGTACACAAATGTCCGGTGTCCGTCCGTCTGTCCGTCTGTCTGTTCGTCTGTCCGTCTGTCTGTCCGTCTGTCTGTCCGTCTGTCCGTCTGTCTGTCCGGCGTAAACATGTCGCACCGTAACTTGATAATGACGTATCCAAATTTCATGAAACTTAAGATAGTTGTTTCTTATGATGGTCAAATGATCTGTATACTTTTTGGTGAAAATAAGATTAAAATTTTTTGAGTTACGGGACTTAGTAACTAAAACAGGTGTGTGTTTTTTTTTTCACATGTCGCGCCGTATCTCAAAAACAATTTATGATTATTGCTTAAAACTTTACACACTTCTTAGCTATATTAATCTTAAGATCTGTATACTTTTTGGTGATGATTCAAAATTTTATTTTAGAGATATTGAGTATTTTGTTAAAAAAGGGGGAGGGAATTTTCACATGTCGCGCCGTATCGCAAAAACAGTTCATGATTATATTGCTTAAAACTTTACACACTTCTTAGTTATATTAATCTAAAGATCTGTTTACTTTTTGGTTTTGATTCAAAATTTTATTTTAGAGATATTGAGTTTTTTGTAAAAAAAAAGGGGATTTTCGCATGTCACGCCGTATGTCAGAAACTATTTATGCTTATTGCATAAAAATTCACACACAAGACGACGGGCGTATCATGCGCTCATGGCGCAGCTGTTTATTAAT